AACTTACAAACAAATAGAAACTGATTTACTAAATCAGTTTTCAAAATTTGGCTTCTGTCATTTTAAACATTTTGTAATGTGACCCAGGGCTCCTGAAGACCTTGGGTATAACCACCAAAGATCTCCAGAAATTGTTATCACATAGTAATTTTTAACATGAGAGAAAGAAAAAAAAATAGACTTTGTCCTAGTTCTACCCACAACCTTTTTGAAAGGGGGTTCCCTGCTTGCAATTCAAAATCCAAGTCCAGCCTCTAGCCCAGAGAAAGTTATACACCCCTGACACAGAGTTTAGTCCAACCGAACAATATATGCCAACTTACAACTCTGACAAATAAAATTACATATAATAAAAGCATCCATAGGAGAAACAAAGCTGAAGTATTCATGCCATTCCTAAAAATTTCTCAAGAATATATTTAAGGTCTTGTTATCTCTCTCATTTATAGGAAAGAAGAATGGAGTTCTTTTATTTCAAACAGATCTATAAATTCAAAGGAGTCAAAATATTTACTTCTATATATATAAAAAACCCACCTATGTTAAAATAGATTCCGTAATTTTGCTGAGAACACTATTCAAATTGATATTTATATTAAATTAAACTGATTTGTAAGAAAATTAAACTTATTTGTAAGAAATCTTGTACAAGTAGTGACAGAAAGGGAGAAATCCATTACTTATTTTGTGCTGCCACCTAGCAATGTTTTCAAGAAATATTTGCACACAAATGCATATATAGTACACTCCTTGAAATTTGTTCATTTATATCCACTTACTTCAATCTTACATATGCATACAGAAAAGGAGACGTTGTTTAAATAAAAAAATATTTACTTCAGGGTTGCACTGATTTTAACTTTAAAACTGAGGCAAGCAACCCCCCCCAAAAAACCTTGTGTGTAGAAGTTCATAATTTAATGAGAAATTCATTAAATTCATTACTGAGAACATATGTGTATAGACAATAACCTAAACAAGAAACGGCAACCAGGTTTGAGTAACCCTATCCTTAATTGCAAATACTTCAAAGCTTATTGTTATTGCTTTCATTTTGTGGCAAAAGAATTTTCCCACACTTCCAAATTTACTCACGGTAAAATAAAAAGAAATAGGGTGACGAATGAATGTCTGCTGAATGAAAATGCCTCAATACAAAAGTGAATGACCAGTACAAAAGCAGTGGTTTGTGCAGATAGTGAGAATGAATGAGAAACCAATTGGAAAACAAATACAGGCTTTCCTTGCCTTATGTGAACTGATTTCATGTGAGTAATAATGTTCCTTTTCATTTTGGATAAAGAATTCACTATATGCAAACAACAACAACAAAACAACAAAAAACCAAAACAAACCATCCTCTTATGCTATATGTGCCAGCCTAGCAAATCTCCACCAAAGGTCTGGAAATATGTCAAGACTATTTCCTGCCAACATTTTTCTGCTCTCACTCACACATTTACCATCATGTTGTACATCTTGTCTCCAACTTACTTTCATACCTGCAATAGCCATTACTGTTACTATGGGGTCAAAATGGTCATCAGCATTTTGCCCAACCTCTTTATCCAAAATGAAAAGGACCTACTAATAGAAATAAAGTTGGAGCTATTATGTTGTACTGAAGCTGGTAAAGGACCCTCACCCTGAGGAACTTTTAACCTGGGTGAAATGTTGATGAAGATTCTCAGTCATCCAGGTGGAATTATCTGGAGATAGAGTCATGGCAACTGGACTTCTTTTCTTTTGGATTGATATGTTTCACTGCTTGTCCAAGAAGCTGCTTGGACAAGCAGCGAAATATATCAAACCAAAAGAAAAGAAGTCCAGTTGTCATGACTCAACCTCTAGATAACCTGGGCAAATCTACTGCACACAACATAAGAATGCTAATAAAATTGGTAGTGCCATGATGGAGCTCACCTCCTTGTCTGCCATGATAACCATACACATTAGAAATCCAGCTGTAGAAAATACATAAAATTTATGCTGTCAATGTGAACAAAAAGAAGAGATTTTTTACCATGCTTGGTGGATGTGTAAAAAAGCCAGAAAGTTTTGGATTCAAATACATACACTAATTCAGAAGATTTTACAGATTAATATACAATTGAAACCAGAGGTTTTTCTTTTGGGACTGACTGATAAACAGTTGGAAAAAAGTCATGGAACTTTATTTTTATACATGATAATTGCAGTGAGAATATTATACGCACAAAGGTGGAAAGATCTGATATTACCCACAATGAAGGAATGGATAGTGAAGATGATGGAAATTGGAGAGATGGCCAGATTGACATCATTGATCAGAGAAAAGACATTATCTAAGTTTATAGTTGACTGAAACCCCTTATAGACTTTTTGCGTGAAACAGAAAAAGATGAACTTATGACTTATGGTTTTGATGATTAAAAAATAGATTATAAAAAAAAATGAAAATCATGATGTAACCATAGAGTAAGAGGTAAATTTACATTAATACTGCACTTTTGGCTTTGTTCTCCCTCTTTCTTTTTTTCCTTCTTTCTTTTCTTCATTCTATATATTAGTACCTGTTAGTTTTTATCTTTCTTTATAAAAATTTTAATAAAGGGGTGTGTGTGTGTGTACACACATACACACACATAAATCCAGCTGTCGAAAAGATGGAGAAAATGCTTTCACACAGAACATGAGACAAGGGAGAAAACATGTTGAGTAATGTGGTGATTAACAAGGCTCTAAAAACTGATTAGCACATTTGTCAATGTATCTATGTATGGTATTGACACCATACCTCACAACTACCTTTTTTCCACTAGTTCAATGTCTCACTTTCTAAGAGTTTGGCGAATGTAACCCTAGCATAAAATAAGGGAAGTATACGAAGACAGAGAGGATGGGGTGAGAAGTTAAAAACCAAGAAAGTCCTGGCTGTATATTCCTCAAAGAGAGGTGATAAATAAAGTTAAGGAATAATAGGCAATGTATGATGCACCGTATGGATGTGATAGAAGCAAGGAGAGAAAGATATGGGGTGGTATAGTGAATATTAGTGTAAACTAGATTTCATTATTTTGGGGTTTTTGCTTACTAGTTCTCACTCTCTGAGCTTTGCAAAAGGTTGCTTCCCCCAAAAAGGATTATGTATATGTCTCTCTGTAAGTAAACCTGGACATGTGCTGGTTAGGAAGGAATACTAACAGACTCAGTGCAAAAAGTCTCCAAGCTTTTCCAACATATCACTGAGCATCTAAAATATCAAGAGTTGCTGGAGGTCTTATTTCCCTGATCTCCAACTTTGGTTGGAGATAGTGTGTAAAAAGCAGAGAAACACTGAATGTTGTATCCTGCTGATTAGATAGCAAGCAAGCACAAGTCTTCTCGTTCCATTTCTCGTGGAAAGATATGAAACAGTGGTAGATTTCCATTTAGTGTTTTTATCAGAGGCATGCAAAATGCTTTGAGTGAAATTTTCTTGAAACAACTGCAAGAGACTGTTGTTCTGATCTTTTTGGAAGTACTTTGAAATTCAAAGCCGAGTGTAATTCAGTAATATTTTAGGGCTGCAGGTTCCACACTCCTGGCTTAAGATATGATGGTCCCTGGTTATGCAAAACTTTAAAGATTAAAATTAGCATTATAAAAGATAAAAATTATATACTCAAGAATTAGTTGCTTTATAAGTCAGTATTTAATATACTAATTAGAGTAGTGATCAGACTATTTCCTTTAAATGTAGTCTATATTTACTCAACTATAGGATAGCTTATATAATTAAACAAAGATCAATTTCCATAATATGTGCACAAGAGCAGCCTACAAAAATATATCTGCATGTACATGTGGATATTGTGTGATTACAAACATGGAACTTTAGAATTATTTGTATATCATACACTATTTTTATTCCTTTTTAATGAGGCAATTTAAAGACCATCAAATGTATTATGGCAGAACAAGCTCTCCAGATGTTTTGGACTTCGGAAGAGACTCCTATAGTATGTTCATATTAGTTGACAGGAGCTGAAATTCAAAACTTCTGGACTACAGTGGTTAAGATGTTGGACCAGACTCCTGGGTTCAAGTCCACATTCTACCACAAAATTCACTGGATGATTTGGGAGCAGTCTCTCTAAGCTCATCCTACTTCACCGTGTTGTTGAAAGAAGGATAAAATAATGGGAGACTTCCCTCCCACCACCATCCAAGCCATCTTTCTCAGAGAAAAAGGCAAGGCATCAATGCAAAATATGAAACAAAATACAGTAAAAACACCTGTTCTAAGCTTTTGTGATCTGGACTCTAATAAAGTGGACTCCAACATACAAGAGATTCATAAGCATGCTGGTCTCTGAGGTGCTATAACATTCTGCTTTTTTGAGCCAACTCTTTGCAAATTATTATATAAATGTAGAATCCATAACAGTACCCACATGTGGCCACCTGCACAGTACAGTTATCATTTACTTTAGTACTGGCTACGCCAGTAATTTTCAGATTTTTTCTTCTTCATTAGCTCAAATGGGCATTCTGGGGTTAATGTTGCTAGTGCATTCATCAAAAGCAAGGCCAGAACCCAGTTCCAGTCATGGAAAGCTAATATTATACAGTGACCAGAAGGAGTCAGCATCCTCACTAACTCTATCTGAAACCGCTGGGAGGGCTACACTTAGGATCTTCCTCATCCCCTTTTACTCACTGCCATGCTCAAGAACGAGCTCTTCTCCCTGACGCTTTCCAGCTACATGGGACTTCTCCTCCATTACCCAAGCCTGCGTGCTCATTATTGTTAGGGATGATGAAAGACCTCTGCCACATTTGGAGAGCACACAATGGAGAGATGCCACCCACCGCCTAGCGACCCACCGAGAAGCACAGGCTTTTACCTTCTCCTCTCCACCCACGTTTCTTACCCGAAACTTCCTTGCCTGCCTGCTCGAGCATCCAACTCGAAGGGCCACCCTAACACGGGAGGCTACCTCTCAGCAATGCGGCAATAGCCACAGACAGAAGCTCACCTCATTGTTGAGGTTCAAAACCTGCGCCATCACAGCCGCTCGAGGCCCCTCACCACCACGAAAGCTCCCTCGGAGGCGTCTTCTTAACTCCGCACGCTTCCTCCTAGCACCGCAAACGAAACAGCGCGCATGCGCCACTCTCACCCGTTCGGCTTCCGGGTGACGCTCTCGCTTTCTCTTTATGGTTACAACGAAAGTAATGTGACTGTGTTAAGAGGACCAGGCCGGAGGATTGAATGGAGGGTGTATCAGAAATAATTGTTATATTAAAAATCATGATTTAAGGTAGTGGGTATTGGAATCAAACCATGATTAGCTGAACCACGATTTACTCAACTTACGTGTCTGAGATCTCACTAGCCCATCCCATTTTAGTCTGCTATGGGAATGCAGTTTGAGGCATTCCCTAGATAGGTTTACTCAGGAGTAAATCCAATTTGAACTCAGTTGATTTACCCAGTTAAGTGGACACAACATTGCCCACTTAACGGTGCAATCGAACCTCTGTAAGTGGCCCTGAGTTCTTTTTGGTTTATTCCAAGCAAGATGAAATAACTGGATTACACTGAGCAAGACACTCTTGAGAAATAAAAATACTTTTTCTTGTAAATAATGAAAGGCCAAGGTTACTGGGGTTTTGTTTCTAACCCTAATGATACGAAACAGTTTAGACTGGTTTTTTTTTTTCTTCACTATTTAAAAATTCTTCAGAATATGGAATTTATGTCACAAAACATGACTATTTTTGTTTTGTCTACCAAAAGGGTCAATCATTCTCCGAGGGATAGCTATCCCAAGTTGGATTGGGCTGACAAAGGCTTCTTCTTCAGGTTTTAAATGAAATCAATGTACAGAACTTGATTTGTATGCACTTCTGTTCTAGCATTATGTTTTTGACCTGCATATGAAAACTGGAAATTTGGCATTTGTTCTGTATGCTCACTTTATTATCGTTCATTTCACTACTCTTCCTTTTCCTACCAACCTATAATTTCTCTACTTTAAGAAAAGTGGATAGAATGCTGGTCTTGCCTCACTATTAAAATCAGGAATAGAAAATGATAATAGTAACAAAGGAAGATAAAAAGAATTTACTAAAAGGCATTGTAGAAGAATGTTATAGGCATGGAGCTCTTGACAAAACATAAAATAACTAGTGATATTGCTCTACTACAAAATCCTTAACAGAAAATGAGCAGGATAAAGAAAGAGTTTTATGTAAAGTTATATTTATCCTGCCTAAAGGTCCTTAAAGTAGTGTGCAAATTGTTTTTTGTTTGTTTGTTTAACCCAAACAGTGAACCCCAATTACTTCCATTATGGAACCCAAGATGTCATGCAAGGATTTTCATGTATATTCCCCTAGTATCTGCCTCACAAGGTTCCTGTATCCTTAGAGAATGCTCTAAGGCCCTAATTAAACCAGTATCTAAAATGTTAAGGCATAAATATATCAGCCAAATATAGTAAACATGTTAAATCATAAATATAACAATTATGACACCAAGGAAATGTGTCTAGAAGATATTATTAACAAGTGTCTAATGCAGGCCTTTTTACCAGAATTTAATGGTATTTCTGACTCACACTATACCATTTGTTCTGACTCAAAATATTTTAGCTATTATATAGGTCCTAAACACTATCACAATTAGGTAACAGTAGTTTTTATCTTGGGTTCATTTCAGTCTTCCTGTCAGTGCTAAAACAACTAATTCCAGTAGAGGAGAGATTTTAGTGACTTGCATTAGGATAGCTCATTCTGTATTTTTGAAAGTCATACATTAAGCACAGAAACTCGTTACTTTCTGAATCCTTTTCCATTTTGTGTATTGGTAATATAGGGATAGCAACATACTGTACTTTATCAACTGTAATTTTTTCTTTGTCTCTAGAAATGCTGCAATTCTCTTTCCTCATTTTCATGCAATGCCTCTTCTATACTGAGTGTGTTCTAGATGTAGCTCTGTTAATTATCTAGATGCCTATTATGACAAATAGAACACATGGAGGATAAAATAATGTATGTTGCAGAAACCATGTGTGTTCATGTTCAGTGCATCTTTGTGTGATCACTGTGTCAATGAATATAGTGGAGTGTCCCAATACACAATATTTTAATTTGCCCTGTAGGGCAAATTAGTGATAGTAATTCACTTACATAAGAGAAAGTAAGGAGGATACAGTTAGGGTAACAGCTAAACCAAAAATAAGAATCCTCTGGTCCTCAAAAGAGTGAGGAACTATTATGTTCAGACCACCTGTTATGTTCAGGCTACTTGGATAAAATTAGGAGACCATAGTCCCCACTCTTTTGCAGTGCTGCTATGACTGCAACTATTAAAAAAAACCTCTAGGCCATCATCAGGAGTCAAGACTGACTCAAAGGCACCAAAAATCTCCTATTCTAGTTTCTCTCTTTTTCTTTTATCGTATTAAAGTACAGTATGATGAAGTGTTGGGAAACCGGCTTTAGATCTGATCCATACTAATTTATGCCATTTTAAATCCTTCACTTTTATAGCATTTGCTGGTATGTTATTCTATCTTTTTCATTCTTTTAGAAACATGCAATGTTTTATGGATCAGTTCTGAAAATGTATGTACGAACATTTCCATTATGAAGTCTTTGGTATCAAATGCTATGATCCAATGCAGAATGTGTAAGCATTTAAATTGAGACTTTAAATAAATGTACATTAACGAATTAATAATCCCTATAATTTACTTTTTAAAATAATCAGGCTATCTCGTGACCAACTATGCACATTTAATGAGTAATGTTCCCTCGGTGGCATTGTTGTTTAGGGTAATTAGTCAAATATTTCTGTGTTGGATTGTAGATTAATGTTTTACAAACCTTTGGGTGGCACTGTTGTTTAGGAATTGCATTATTTTGAATTATATATATTGATTTTCTCTTATTTTTTTAGAATTTATGGTTTAACATTTGAATGTGTATTTTTCTGGAATGAAGGCTTGAGTGTCAAGCATAACAATAGTTTATTTAACAACATCTTCGTATTGGCTAGATGGATGCCTCAGGGAGGTTCACCTGCAGGAAATTATGATAATTGATAATTGCCATCTCATATTATTAATTCCTAATCCTTGGTATTAAGCATACTGTCTTACAAACCAAATGTTGCTGTTACCTTTACAGTAGTAACTACAGTATTAGTATAGTTACCTTCCATGTTTCATCTCTACTTTTGAACATTCATATATACAAACTGTGTTTGCAACATCCTGTGGCAATTATACTTTCTAACTGGTGACCACAGCTTCTTTGCAAACGTACTGAGCTTAAATACCTTACACTGTGATTTTAATTGCATTGCATAATTGGTGTCTCTTATGTTGAGGCTACATAAGATTTTTTTTTTTTAAACAAAAGCTTCTAGGTTAAATTCATCTTCTGTATTAAGTGTTCAGCTGATAAATTAAATGTGCCTTCCTCCTCTGGGCTTGTTGTAAGAGTTGACAGAGTTTAATCTTTCAACTTTTTTTAAAAAAGTATTTTACAGATGAAATTCCTGCTGCACAAACAGGGCAGATGTTGTGAAAGCAATGTCAGTGTTACTGTTTTCTTATTTTCTTTACAACCACACCCTGAGTTAAAGTCTAGAGTAGAAAAAAAAATATCTGTGAAATGCATTTTACTGTTTCTGTGGTAGTGCAGCACATTGATTTTTTAAGATAAGTTGTAAGTAGATGAAAATATACACCAGGTTTCTTTAGCAACTTACCCTAAACCTTTGTATGCAATTTCCTTTCATATGCTCTCAGTGTAAATTCTCCTAATTAATTCAAATCTTTTGATGCAGTTTTTGTGTTAATTTTTCCTGATAGATGCTTTTAACCTAATTTTTTTTTCATACATATTTTAAAAACCAACAACAGACCTAATGGGATTATTTTCAGTGCTGGAGTCTTTGTCACAACATAATTAGTTTAGCAAATGCCACAGATCTGCTCTCATAAAACTCTATGGAGACTTTCTTTAAATCCATAGAGGAAGGGTAAGACATTGAGGGGTCTGAAACCCAGGTTGAATTATATACTACCATCAAATGCTAATAGAAGTTCCAGTGATTTTTTTCATGCTAGATCATATTAGGCATTCCACTTAACTGGTAAAGAATTATTTTCCTTTGTTATTATTTGCATATGAAAATACAACTAAAATCAGATATATAGGCTGTGATCAATATTCTGTCATATGACATAAGTATATAATATTGTAAAAATATGGCAATCTTACTGCCTATTTATATGCATTTTTACCTGGATATCCAGCCAAATTCATCACGACTTACTTCCAATAAAGTGTGTACAAGATCATAGCCTAAAAGCTGTATTCTGAGTTAAATTTAAAAGAAAAGCAACATGTTTGTGTTTCTTAAAGCTTCACCAAAGTTTTGAAATATAGTATAATTTGCAGGGCAATGGGGAGAGAAGGTGTCAGAGATTCTCCCAGGGCATGGCAATAAATTTCCATCTAGAAACTGAAATAATACTCAGGAGCTAATGGTAGAAGAGTCGAAGACAAGGCTCAGATATTTATATTGCTTTTATTGCACATACAAGAAGCAAAGGAGGTCAGCTACTGCAAACAAGCAAGCTATTTATAATAGCCCCTGGATTTAAATCTAAATAATCCTTTTGTTTTTCCAGTAGCTAATGAAGCTACTTGATTACTAACATAAAGATTTGTATCCAGTAAAGGGACACAAGAACATATTTATCCAACAGTATCAAATATACCTTTCAGGAACAAGAATTTTCTTGCAATCAGTATAAAAACTACAGCACGTTTTGTGTGCATCTATGTTTTATATTCTGTTTTTAGAATGCCACTGAAATATGGAAACATTTGCATCTCTCCTGTCCAAAAAAGAAGAAGAAAAGCAGCTGGTATATTGAAGAAGAAAGGTTAATATAAATCTATAAAAGCTGTATAGGATGATCTATTTTAATGAAACCTCTGTATCATAAAGATTTGAACTAATTCCCCTTTAAATACTTTCAGTACTGAAGGCATCAGCTGGCCTCTCCTATTTTTGAAAAAATGTATAATAAACTATCTCAAATCAAAAAGCAGTCAGATGAATGGCTGATT